CAGGCTCCAGAAGCCCCCTGGGGAGCAGAGTCAGGGACAGACATGGGTCTCCTTGGCAGGATCTGAGCTGGAGGGTCCGACTTGGCCCCGAGGGGCCTCGGCGCTTCCTATTCAATCCCCTCCCTCACCCGGTCCCCACCATCTGAAGTTGCTCCTCTGGATGGCCTAGCCTCTAGTCTGGTGCAGACTTTGCTCACCAGGCTATATTTAGCCCTGAGAAATGGAAACAAGGAGCCCGCGGCCAACGTGGTGCTGGAGGGAGGGGCGCAGAGCCGGCCCTGCCTTCTCTCCAGCCACGTTCTTCCTGCTGACGCTGTTCTTCCCAGAACCTTCCAGAAGTAAAGCGTTGGCACTTTGGGGCTTGCTGGAACAAGGGCATGAGCTAGGGGTTGTCATGTTCACTGTTCCCAGAACCTGTCCGTGACCATGATGGAAGTTAACTTTTTTTCTAAATAAAAAATAGAGGTGAGGTCTTGTTGTGTTGCCCAGGCTGGTCTCGAGCTCCTGGGCTCAAGTGTTCCTCCCACCTTGGCCTCCCAAAGTGCTGGGATGACAGGCATGAGCCACCACACCTGGCCAAAGCTGATTTTTTTTGGTTTGTTTTATTTTCAATTTTTTTTAAGCGTGGCAAAATGACATGACAAGGTTTACCATCTTAAACATTTTAAAAAATATTTCTAAATTGAAAAATGACAATTGCACATATTCGTGGAGTTCATAGTGATGTTTTGAAGCATACGATGTGTCGTGATCAGATCAGGGTAATTAGCATATCCATCATCTCAAATGTTGATCATTTATTTGTTGTGGGGACATTTAATATCCTCCCTGTAGCTATTTGAAGCTATTAATATATTATCGTCATCTTAACCATTGTTAAGGATGCAGTTCTGTGGCATTAAATACATTCACATTGTCATGCAGCCATCAACACCATCGTATCTAGAATCTTCTCAACTTTCCAAACAGAAACTCTGTCCTCATGAAACTCTCACTCCCCAGCCACTTGCACCCGCAGTTCTACTTTCTGTCTCTGTAGCTGGAATGACTCTAGGGCCCTCTCATAAATGGAATCACACTGTATGTTTGCCACCTTATTTCTCTAAATATAATGTCTTCAAGATCCATCCGTGTTGCACCATGTGTCAGAACTTATTTCCTTTATTAGACAAAGTTGACTTAAAAAAACAAACAGCCAGGCACCATGGCTCATGCCTGTGAGCCCAGCCTTTGGGAGGTGGAGGCAAGAGGGATTCGAGACCAGCCTGAGTAACATGGCAAGACCTCATCTCTACAGTGAATCAAAGAATGAGCTGGGTATGGTGGTGCACACCTGTAGTTCCAGCTACTTGGAAGGCTGAAGCAGAAGGATCACCTGAGTCCAACAGGTCGAGGTTGCAGTGGTTGTGAGCGTGCCACTGCATTTCAGCCTGGGCAACAGAGTGAGACTCTGCCTCAAAAAAAAACAAACCAAAAAAAAAGCAGAAAATAAGTAAAAATAAAAAATAAACAAGCAAACAGGGCCGGGTGCAGTGCCCATACCTGTAATCCCAGCAGTTTGAGAGGCCAAGGCGGGAGGATCACTTGAGCCCAGGAGTTCAAGACCATCCTGGGCAACATCATGAGCCCTTGTCTCTATAAACAAATTTGAAAATTATCTGGGTGTGGTGGCACCTGTAGTCCCAGCTACTGAGGACACTGAGGTGGGAGGATCACTTGAATCCAGAAGGTCAAGGCTGTGGTGAGCCATGATCACGCCACTGCGCTCCAGCCTGGGAGACCAAGTGAGACCCTGTCTCAAATAAATAAATAAAAACTTCTAAAAAAAATTAAGTACAATAACCATACAGAAAGCCCCATGGACCATAAGTGAAGAGTGTTGTGAATTTTCATAAACTAAACACACCCGTGCAACCAGCACCCAGGTGAGGAAACAGAACCTTCTCAGCCCCAAAAGTCCCGCTGGGGTCCCCTCCCAGTCACTGCCTCCCCCAGAGGGTACTCCCCTCGGGACTTCAAGCATTATCCACCAGTTTCCCTGTTTTTGTATTTTGCATCAATGGAATCTTAAACATATGCTCTTTCCTGTCTAGATTCTTTTGCTTGACATTAACTTTGTAAGATCTCATGGGGTGGCCTGTGATCGTCATTCATGGCATAATATTTCATTTACATATCCTCTCCCCTGTTGATGGAGATTTGGATCAGCTGCAGTTTGGAGCTCCTGTGGATATCATTGCTGTGAACATTCTTGTGTGTGCCTTTGGTGGAGACAAGTTCACATTCCTATTGAATAACTACCCAGACTCACCATTCAATTGTGTGGTCTTGGATAGGTAGCAACCCAAGAGTGACTGGGTGTTGGTGAAGCTGCATGTAGTCTTGGGCCGCAGAATGACATTTCTGTCAACAATGGACCAGATATATCATGGTGCTCCAATAAGATTATAATACTGTGTTTGGACTTGGTGGCTCAGCCTGTAATCCCAGCATTTTGGGAGGCCAAGGCGAGTGGATTGCCTGAGCCCGTGGGTTCGAGACCAGCCCCGGCGAGACCTCGTCTCTACAATAAATAAATTAACCGGTTGCAGTAGCGTGCGCCTGTAGTTCCAGCTACTTGGAAGGCTGAGGCGGAAGGATCATCTGAGCCCAGCAGATCAACGCTGCGGTGGCCATGAGCGTGCCACTGCACTCCAGCCTGGGCGACTGAGTGAGATTCCAATTTTTTAAAAAAGCTTACAATACCGTGTTTTGACTGTACCTTTTCTATATGTAGCCATGTTTTAGATACACAGATACTTACTGTTATGTTGTGGTTGCAGTTGCCTACAGTATTCAGTACAGTGATATGCTGTGCAGGTTTGTAGTCCAGGAGTTAAAAGGCCCTACCACACGCCTAGGTATGGAGTAGTCTCTGCCATCTTGGTGTGCGTAAATTCACGCTACAATGTTTGTGTGAGGAAATCCCTAATGGCACCTTTCTCAGAACATATTCCCATTGTTAAGCATGACTATAATTGATTCTAGTAGAAACTCTCAACCCATTTTTCTTTTTTTTTTTTTCCTTTTTTTTTGAGTTGGAGTCTCACTCCATCGCCCAGGCTGGAGTGCAGTGGCACGCTCACAGCCACCCAAGTATTGACCTGCTGGGTGCCAGCAGTCCTTCTGCTTCAGCCTTCCAAGTATCCGGAACTACAGGCGTGCACTACCACGCCCAGCTAATTTTTTTATTTATTGCAGAGATGAGGTCTTGCCAAGTCGCCCGGGCTGGTCTCAAACCCACAGACTCAGGCAATCCACTCACCTCAGCCTCCCAAAGTGCTGGGATTACAGACTGAGCCACCAAGCCTGGCCCCCATTTTTCAAAGTGGTTATGCCATGTGTTATGGGTTATACTGTGTCGTTCCCCACCCCCACTATTCATATGTTGCAGTCCTAACCCCCAGTACCTCAGAATGTGACCTTATTTGGAACCGAGGTCACTGCACATGTCATTAGCTAAGATGAAGTCATTAGGGTGGAACCTCATCCAATATGTCTGGTGTCCTTATAAAAAGGGGAAATTCTGGCACAGAAACAGACACACACACACACACAGACAAAATGTCTTGTGAAGAGGAGGCCAGAGATCAGGCTGATACTTCTACAAGCCAAGGATCGTCAAAGATTGACAGCAAGCCACCAGAAACTAGGAGAGTAGAACAGGTTCTCACTTACAACCTTCAGAAGGAACTAATCCTGTTTAGCCCCTTGATCTTTGACTTCTGGCTTCCAGAACTGTAAGACAATAAATGTCTGTTGTTTAAGTCACCCAGTTTGTCATTCTTTGTTGCAGAAGCCACAGGAGACTAATACACCATGCTACTACCCATCCACAGAGAATGAGGGTTCAAGGTGCTCCACAGCCTCCCAAGTTCCCTGGGAGTAATGCCCTCATCCCAAATTCTTTCTCATTTTAGCCTTTCTTCTGGGCAGCTGGTGCTGTATGTGCTTTTCAAGATGAGCTTTTAAAGCCACACCTGGGAGATTCGTATTCCGCAAGTGCCACAGTGATGAACCATTGCAAGCCTCCCCCTACCCTGATGGCTAGAGCCAAGCCTTCCCCTGCACAGAGATTAGGCCCATGGACTCGAGTTCAGCCACCTGGTTCAAATCTCACATCCAGCCCTGCCTAGATCTACTGCTTTGGGCTGGGGATTTTGTCTTTCTGAGCCTCAGTTTCCTTAGTTGTAAAATGTGCATTATGATAACACAGGGACATCATGAGGATTAAATGAGTGACTTAGCCTAGGTAATGTGCTTAAAAGAGTGCCCAGTACACTCCATAAGTGATGGTTTTTCTCATTCTTTCAGCCTCCTCTCTTTCTCTCTCTCTCCCCCTCACTCCCTTTCTCTGTTCTGATTTTCCTCCCCTCCTTTTACTTCCTTTTTGCTACAGTGTTCTGTTCTCTGCTTCAGAAGAGAATGTCTATTGGTGGACTTTGTCCCCCTGAAAAATTGAGCTAGCTACTTCTGGGAACCATTTGTGCTTGACATTAAGGCTGCAGGGAACGGAGCAGGGAAACACTTGAGGAAAAGGTTCACAGCCCTTCCGTCTAGCCTGATGACTTCATGGTCCTGCACCTCCTCTAAGGAGACACCGTGACTGTGTTGGCAGAAGGGAGGGAACCAGGGATTTATTTCTCCGTTTCAGTTTTTCCTTTTCTTCCTGAACCCTGGACTGGGAAACCCTGTTAGGTTTCATGCTGGGTCCCAGGTCCTGTGAAGACTGTGTGGCCAGGAGGAAGCTTTGCTCTTCTAGTGGTACCTCTGGGGTTACCCCACTGGTTGAACCTCATCCCTGCATTTCCCTCTTCAGGCTGCCAGAGCTCCAGGACTCCACAAGCCAAGGACATTTGGGACCGAGCTCCAGAAGAACCGGAGCTCCCCATGTCCCCACTGTCAGGTCCTACCTGAGTCTCACTCAACTCTCACCTGCTTTCCCTCCTCACGCCCTACAGAGCAACGATGCCTCAGGGAACACTTGGAACTGGTTATACTTTATCCCCCTCATCATCATCGGCTCCTTTTTTATGCTGAACCTCGTGCTGGGCGTCCTGTCAGGGTAAGTCTGTGCAGCTCCTCCCAGTCTACCCCTTCCTCTCCCACGTCTCAGGAAGAGGCAGCCTCTTCTCTTGTTCTGGGTCAGCAGACATGGACAGGTGCATAGATGGTGCACTGCTCCAGGGACTCAGTGAGGGGGATCGTGAGGGCTTTACTTTCCATAATTTACATTAAAAAAAATAATCTGGGGCCAGGCACAGCGGCTTATACCTGTAATCCCAACACTTTGGGAGACCAAGGCAGGAGGATGGCTCAAGACCAGGATTCTGAGACCAGCCTAGGCAACATAATGAGACCTTATCTCCACAAAAAAAAATCAAAAAATTAGCCAGGCATGGTGGCGCATGCCTGTAGTCTCAGCTACTTGAGAGACTGAGGTGGAAGAATCGCCTGGGCCTGGGAGGTCAAGGCTGCCATGAACTGTGTTTATGCCATTGCATTCCAGCCTGAGGGACAGTGAGATCCTGACTCAAAAAGCACAGTAATTTGACTGTACTTCTCCCCTGTTTTCCAAATATAAACTCAGAGCATAAAATCAAATATGCATTTTTCTTGACACATGGTCATCTACCCCCAAGATTTGTTGGGTTTGGAGGTTCTTTGTTGTTTTTTGGCTTAATCATAAATGGGCTTCCTTTTTCTTGCCCCAAGAAGTCTAGGGCCTCATACGGTGGCTGTGTGATGCCATCAGCAAACCCAGGTCCTTCCAACTTTCCACTCGGACATCTTCCCCAGAGGCTTCCAATCTCGCGGGTACCGCGTGGTCTCAGGTGGCCACGCCACAGTCCAAACGGGAAGAGGAAGAGGGGAATTGTGAGGGGGCAGGAAGCACCCAGCAGAAACCCTTGGCTTATGACTTGTCGGTCTAGCTTATAAGAGAACTGAGGCTGGGCACAGTGGCTCGAGCCTGTCATCCCAGCATTTTTGGAGGCCGAGGCGAGAGGAATGCCTGAGCCTAGGGGTTCAAGACCAGCCTGGGCAACTTGGCAAGACCTCGTCTCTACAATAAGTCAAAAAAATTAGCCAGACGTGGTGGTGCACACCTGTAGTTCCAGTTACTTGAAAGTTTGAGGCGGAAGGATCACATGAGCCCCAGCAGGTCAAGGCTGCCGTGAGTCATGATCGTGCCACTGCACTCCAGCCTGGGTGACAGAGTGAGACTCAGACTCAAAAAAAATCTTTTTTAAAAAGAGGGTTGAAAGTGTCTCTTAGGCAGGCATATGAAGAGAATGAAACATGATGTGTGCAGCCAGTGGTTGGCACGGCACAGTTCAATGCCTTTGCTTTCTCTGGTCCTGGGTGCAGGTGTTGGGTAATGTGTGGAGGGACGGAGGTACCCACCTTATAATATCCCGTCTTCTCCCAGATCTCCTGACTCCTCCTGTTGAAAATTCCCGATCTCTAGGGACTTCTGAGTCCCCAAACACACAAACACACACACACACACACACACACACATATGCACACATGCATTTTCTAAAATTTCCAAAACAGTCACACCGGGGCTTTTGTTGTACTTCCGCAGGGAGTTTGCCAAAGAGAGGGAGCGGGTGGAAAACCGGAGGGCTTTTCTGAAGCTGAGGCGGCAACAGCAGATTGAACGCGAGCTCAATGGGTACATGGAATGGATCTCAAAAGCAGGTGAGGCCCTTTCATCCCAGAGCCCAGGATGGAGACTCCAGGCCCCGGACTCATGTGTATTCGGGCGTGCTGAAGGGAGAGTCATGACAGGAGGGGAAAGGGAGTCTCAACAGGGAGTCCCAGATTGTATCGACAAGAATCCAGGGTGTGACATTAGGGGCAGGCGCGGTGGCTCACACCTGTCATCTCAGCACTTTGGGAGGATCGCTTGAGCCCAGGAGTTTGAGACCAGCCTGGGCAACATAGTGAGACCCTGTCACTATGAACAGTTTAAAAATTAGCCAAAGGCTGGACTCCATGGCTCAGCATGTCATCCCAGCACTTTGGGAGGCCAAGGCGAGTGGATTGCCTGAGCCTGCAGGTTTGAGACCAGCCTGGGCAACTTGGCGAGACCTCATCTCTACAATAAAAAACAAACAAAAATTAGCCAGGTATACTCCCAGCTACAGGGGAGACTGTAGCTAAGGTGAGAGGATCGCTTTAGCCCAGGAGGTCAAGACCACCCTGGGGAACATAGTGAGACGCCCATCTTTGTTTTTAAAAAAAATTTTTTTTTAATGCAGAGTATATTAAAACTTCTAGGATGAATCCAGAATATGACATCACATAATTGCTGTGTTCTGAAAATCAGACATTGGTTTACATCCTGGCTCTACTACCTTCTAGCAACATACCCCACCTCTCCATGCCTTAGTTTCCTCAGCTGTTACTTGGAGATAATAATAGTACCTACTTCATTGAGCTATTTGAGTATTTAGTAAAATAATCTCAGCAAAGTCACTTTGGGAGATCAGTGACTGACATACAGTAGGCAGATATTTATTTGTTCAGTCATTCAACAAGCACTTATGGGACACCTACTGTGTACCTGGCACAGAGGATATAATAGTGAACAAAACAGATCAAGTTCCTACCCTCAGGGTTCTGTCGTTCTAGTGAGAGAGACAAAAACAAACATGTCACACTAGTTGCTGTCAAATGTAGGAACAAAAGATGAAGCAGGAGACTGAGCAAGGAGGCCCATACCTGTCATCCCGGCATTTCGAGAGGCCAAGGCAGGAGGATTGCTTGAGTCCAGGAGTTCAAGACCAGCCTGGGCCACATAGCGAGACCTGGTCTCTACAAAAAAAAAAATTAAAATAAATTAACTGGATATGGTGACATGTACCTGTAGTCCTAGCCACTTGGGAGGCTGAGGCAGGAGGATCACCTGAGCCCAGGAGTTCAAGACCAGCCTGGGTAACATAGCAAGACCCTCGTCTCTACAAAAAATAAAATTTTTTAAAATTAGCTGGATGTGGTGGCATGCACCTGTAGTCCTAGCCATTCAGGAGGCTGAGGCAGGAGGATCGCCTGAACCCAGAAGGTTGAGGCTGCAGTGAGCCAGGATCGTGCCACTTCACTCCAACCTGGGCAACAGAGTGAGACCTCCAACTCAAAAAATAAAAAAGAAAGTAGGGAGTTGGGGGAGGGGGTAGGGTGTCAGGGAAGGCTTCTCTGAGGAGGCGCCATCTGAGCAGAAACCTGGAGGAAGTGAAGCCAGCAACTGCGGGATGTTCAGGGGAGAGGCGTTCCAGGCAGGGAAACAGGAGGTGCAAAGGCCCTGAGGTAGGAGCATGCTTGAGATGGAGGAAGGAAGCCAGCGTGGCCAGATCAGGGAAGTCAGAGGGGAGGAGGACCCAGAGGTCGTAGGGCTGGATGGCGCTGGGGCTTGGCCATGGCAAGGAGGCTGCTTTTTACTTTACGTGGCGTGGGAATGATGTTGGCTGGGGAGACAGGGTTCGGAGTCAGAAACAACCCAGCAGCACAGTTTTGGTTGACTGAGCTGTCGCCATCAGCCCTGGAGGAGGGGGGTGGCTGGGCAGACCCTCCCACTTCCTGGGCTGGGGAAGCCCACTCCCAGGAGAGCCCCCAGATGCAGGAGCCTGACTGTATGCTCTCCTCCTCAGAAGAGGTGATCCTCGCGGAAGACGACACAGATACAGAACAGAGGCATCCCTTTGATGGTAACTGTTCTGACCCCACTCGGCAGTGGGGCCTGGGCGTTGGGGGCACCTTGGGTGGGGGTTGGGGGAGCAGGGAGCAGGCAGCTTGGTTCTAGGGCTTCTCCAGGGGCTGGATGTCCAGACCCGGGACATGCCAGGAAGAGACATAAAACCGGGTCAGGTTCAGGAAGTTCCAGGGGGTGGTGGGAATCTGCTTCCTGGAGGAATTCCAGGACATCAGGGCAGGGATTTCCGTGCCTGGCCTCCCCTTTGTCTGCTTTTAACATGTGCCCAGCTCTCTTTGCTCTGTGCCTCTGTTTTTCTCATCTGTCAAATGGGCACAGTATACAAGAGGCCCAGCTCATGAATTTGCTCCTGAGGATAATATTGCTTATGGCAAATAGAAGGTCTAGGACTACCTGGCCATGATCAGCACTGTTATTGTTTGCTGAATAAATAATAATCCCACCAAGAAGCCAGTTGGCTGCTGTCACTCATGTCAGAAATGTGGCTGGGGTCGGCAGGTGCAGTGTCTCACACCTGTAATCCCAGCACTTTAAGGGAGGCCAAAGTGGGAGGATCCCTTGAACTCAGGAGTTTGAGACTAGCCTGGGCAGCATAGCAAGACCTCTTCTCACCAAAAAAAAACGTTTAAGTTAGCCAGGCATGGTGACATGTGCCTGTATGTTGGAAGCCAGCCACAGAGGCCCACCTGAACGTTAGAGATCAAGGTGGACTGTGGACCTGAGACCACTAGGATGTGTTCAGGAGCTGTTGACCCATTTCCTCTTCCTTTTTTTTTTTTTGGTATTTAGTACATCCCATTAGAAGGAACTTGGCAGAGTGCTGAAGAGAAGTATTTCTCAGCTCAACACCATGCTTCATGGTTTCATGCCAATAAAATGAAAAAGGGAGCAGGGAATGGGGTCAACAGCTCCCGAACGCATCCTAGTGGTCTCGGGGTCCACGGCCCACCTTGATCCCTAACGTTCAGGTGGGCCTCCGTGGCTGGCTCCCAACACCTGTAGTCTCAACTACTTGGGAGGCTGAAATGGAAGGATTGCTGGAGCCCAGCAGATCAAGGCTGCGGTGGCCGGCAGCGGCCACTGCACTCCAGCCTGGGTGACAGAGTGAGACCCCAACTCAAAAAAAAAAAATGGAAGAAAGAGAGAGAGGGAGGGAGAGAAAGAAAGAAGGAAAGGAAGGAGGGGTGAAAAGAAGGAAAAAAGAAAGAGAGAAATGTGGCTACATAGAGCCATGACTTCGGGTGGGAAATCCCATGAGTTAGAAGGCAGTCCAGAACCCAGGACTGAATTCCAGCAGGCTCCCACCAGGATTCTGCAAACCGCTTGGCTGGGGAGTGTGACTCACTTTCTCTGGATTTCTCGGGAGCACAGACTTGAACTGCTTGTCCCCGAGAAGCCTGAATTGGGAGCAGGGAGCACTGGAGAGTATCCATAGATGCAGTCTGCCCCTCTGCTCCTCAGGAGTTCCCACACCGTTGAGCATCTCAGCAATCCTGGCTGGGCTCCCTAAAGCAGTTTCTTGGGGTTTAGAGATAGGCCAGAGGGCATGTATGCAAGATGATAAGAATAACAAGAACAACCTGGCACAGTGGCTCACGCCTATAATCTCAGCACTTTGGTAGGCAGAGGTGAGAGGATTGCCTGAGCTCAGGGATTCGAGACAACATGGCAAGACCATGTCTCTACAGTAAAAAAATAAAAATAGAAAATTAAAGCTGGGCTCGGTGGCTCAACTTGTAATCCCACGCTTTGGGAGGCTGAGGTGAGTGGATTGCCTGAGCCCACGGGTTCGAGACCCGCCTGGGCAACTTGGCAGGACCTCATCTCTACAATAAACCAAAAAATCAGCCGGGCGTGGTAGCGCATGCCGGTAATTCTGGCTACTTGGGAGGCTGAGGTGGAAGGATCGCCAAAGCCCAGCAGGTCGAGGCTGCAGCGGCCAGGAGCGTGCCACTGCACTCCAGTCTGGGCGACAGAGTGAGACTCCAACTCAAAAAATATATATATATAGAAAATTAGTCGGGCATGGTGGCACATGCCTATAGTTCCAGCTACTTGAAAGACTGAGGCGGAAGGATCACCTGAGCCTAGCCGTCAAGGCTGTGATGGCCATGAGCATGACACTGCACTCCAGCCTGGGTGGCAGAATGAGACTCTAACTCAAAAAAAAGAGAACAAGAACAAACTTTTCATACCCCACGAGAAGTGGTGCTTGTTGCTTGAGGTCTCTCTTCTGCCATGCTAGGAAGCTAGTTAGATGGGATGAAAACTTTGTATGGAAAATCCTGGGAATTCAAAGACAAGAAAGGAACTAAAATGGACGTTTGCTGTTTTGATGGTGAGGGGAGAGGACCCGTGGGGTATCCAAATCTCTTCATTGGAAGCATGCCCCTAGAGAGCCCATAGGGTATAGCCTCACTATTGGGGGAGAATGCCTGCAATCTCAGCCTGCAAAGATGCTACAAGTCGAGGGGAAACGGCATTCAAAAAGAAGTGAGGTTTCTTAGAATTCAACGGCCAGACGTGGTGACTCATGCCTGCAATCCCACTGCTTTGGGAGGCTGAGGTGGGAGGATCACCTGATGCCAGGAGTTTGAGACCAGCCTGGGCAACATAGTGAGACACCCATCTTTTTTTTTTTTTTTTTT